CATACAAGTGAAAAATTTCAAGGTAGCCAACAACTGGCTTCTGAAAGAATGCATCTGAAAGACTAAGCAGCTCAGAGAAAGCCATGTACTTAACACAGAAAGTGACCAGTCACAAAAGTATAGAAAAGCAGCAGAACCAGGGTGCGTAAAACAAAAAACAAACAAAAAACAATACACACAGCACAGACCCTGAGCTCACTGTCCACATCAGCATTAACTCCAAGACTTTAAATAAAAATCATCAGGAAGAGTGCCCTTACCCTCTACTGATCTTTGAGGAAATCTACGCCCTAAGTGGTCCAGTTGTTCTCTACTGACTGGCTGATGCTTTAGGAATCCAGTGCCTCACTACAGTGTTCTTGAAGCCTGTTTTCCTACTCAGCTATTCTGTTGCCTGGCAGTAGACTATATGCTATTTTTAGTTTTCAGGCCCATAGACCCTAAAGGGGTTTACCTGGGACCTCCTCATTGCCCTCCATTCATCTCTGCTTATCTAGGAAGATACAGTCATCCTAACTGCACAGACCTTTTCTAGGGTTTCCAAGGAGCAGTCAGGATTAAAATTGAGCAAAAAACTATCTTCCTGGCCTCTGTTAAAGACTACGAGGCATAAGGGAGGTTCTTCAGTGGTTTAATATTTACTGAATGCTCACAAAGCTCTAATATACATGAGAACAAAATTATGACATGATCTTTAGCCTCTAGGGGTCTGGGCTGAGTCTTCATTAAAAGCTACAGTGCTGACTTCCCACAGAAGCAGAGCAACAGTAAAGGAACATCATGCCATCAGTGATTGGCTGATGTGACTGCACTTAGCAAGCAGAGCTTTTTAGCAAGATGAGAGGCACTCCCTGTTTTCTGCTCTAGGTCCCCAAAGCACAGATTCAGCCCCACTTAATGCAGTTATTATATTTTAATTATTGCCATTTACTTGATTGTTGATTCTACAAACATTTGCTAAGTGCAGTCTACTATGTTTCAGGCACAAATGAGGTACTAATGACTGTTAGCAGACCGAACAAATGAAATCTCACTTGACAGTGAGAATGCAATGAGTATGTTACATGTGTAGGGGGCATGAGTGTAGGACTAAAAAAAAGGTGTTGCTTGAGCTAAATTTTGAATATGAGTGGGAGTTACCCTGGTAGATTAAAAAAAAAAAGCATTCCAGGAAGAGGTAAGAACACATGCCAAGGCATGGAGCTATATGGGGACTCCATCAAGACTTGGATGATATGAAGCCAGCCTGGGTGCAAGATAGAAATAGGAGAGGAAACCTGCCTTCACATATGAATTAGCATCAGCCCAAAGAACTGGTTTGAGGTAGTAAGCTTAAAATATTCGTTTAGAAAGGAATTTTCATTTGAATTTCAAGGAGATTAAAAAATCCACATAAACTCAAATAACTGGATTTCCTGAGGCCAAGAAGAGGGATAACCCTGATTAGTTCCAGGGCTGATCAATGAGTACACTGCTAGGCTGAGGACGCAACAAGAAACTCTTCTTTACAACTTAAGAGCTGGTAGGTGGTGATCACAGTGAATCACTGGGGCTTTCTCTATATGAGACTCATAAACCTCAAATGCAAACAAACAACAAAAATGAAACAAAAAGGAGGTAAGACTACAGTAAAAGGATATATTTCTCAAAATCAAATAGAGACTACATATGTAAAGTATAACATGTTAACTTTGTAAACTATTAACATGTTATCCAAATGTATGGTTTTCTCATTATTGTCACAGGGAGGGAAAGGTGTGGCCACTGCACCAAAAGCATATGAACAAAACTAACTCTGGCAGAGAGGCTAGGATGTGGCTGCCTGAAGAGGCACAGAATGGCAGCTTTCAATGATGCCTCTACATTGACTGCTTTAGATATTCTGTAAAACTTATTTCCCTCCTTATTTTTCCTGCTCTTTATAGCTAGTGATTAGAGAAATGCAGACTGATTCTATGTGAACTCCTTAAGGGAAAGAACTCTTATTTATATAGCTAAGTGCTGGCAAGTAAGCAGCACTTAGTATGTATGTGGGTCTCTGTGAGGGGATTGTTGGAAAGCGTGTAGAGAATAGAGATGCTATAATGGAAACAATAATCATGTATCCAGCTGGACACTGACTGTTTAGGTTTCTTGGTCCAAAGATGGTACAAAATTCCCATCAGAACTCAGAACTTGGTCATTAAGATTGAAGGGTGGAATACATAATGATATTCCCATCAGAAATGAATAAATCAATTTAAGAAATGAAGACAGAAGAAACCAAGCATCATTGCTGGAGAGAAGCATGTGGGACTGAAAGATAACAGATTCTGTAGCTAAAAAGATGGGAAACTATTTGCATAAGTATGATCCACTTAGGAACAGGTGTACTGGAAAAAATGCAAGGAGTGTGGGAAATGGACCTGGGAAGGCTTTACTATCCATGTTCAAGGAAAAGGAAGCACTGGTAAAAATATGGCAGATGTTGGAAGAAGAAAGCCATAAGAATGTGGTCACAGACTATGGGAAGATCAAAGGCTGAGAAATTCAGAGTAAAATCCAGACAATTTGCACACACTCAAATGAAAATGAGTGAGCCATTCTTTTATTTCCCTTTGAAGAGAACATTTTCTGAGCAGATTAAGGCCACCTGGTGACATCCTTCACACACATTCTGGAATGATTTTATTTGCAGAATCATTGTGATTATTGGGGAGTTAAGCATTATTCTTAGAAGTTTTGAAATCTTAATGTTTACCCTATGCTACACATGAAATAAAATCCAAAGTCCAAGATTTAGGTAGCATCTGAATTAGTCAAGTGATTTTTTTTCAGGGTCAGGAGGGGGTGAGACATGAACAGCCCTCAATAAAAAGACAAATTTAGCAATAAAACTCAAAGACAAATATCTAAATTAAGAGCAAAGATCCTATTTGCACGCTTGATACTTCTGATTTTCTTTTAAAAAGACAATATAAGAGGGATAACTGATAAGAGGGATTTGAACTGAGAGCGTCATAAACAACTTTATAATTGGAGAACCAAACCAATATGAAACTCTGTCAGAGTTTACTCCATTGAGCTGTTCATGAGGTTCCACACCCATCTGTGAGGAAGTCACCAAATTAAAAACATAACCAACAAATTGGTAAGCTAGGCTGTTCTGTTTCCTCACTAACTCGGTCTCACTGTTCACTATGTAACCCCAGGAGCCCAGAGAAGCCAATTTTATTAAAGGATGATGTTACTAGGTTGGCTGTGTGGAAAGAAGGGGAAAAAGAAAACTAGAAAGACTTTGTGGTAAATTCCATTGCTTGGCTCTCTCACTATTCCATTTTTTAATAGGAAACCAGAGTCTATTCTTGGGCCCAAAGTTAAACTCTTGGGATTCAGCTTGAATGAAAACATTGAGGGAATGAACCAAGGTAGCATCACTATGTCAGATACAGAATCTTTGCAGTTCCCAGAGAACAGACTCCCAATAAACCTTCCCTAGCTCTCATCTTTTTCACCCTCCTCTTCCTCCTATAGAAGCCCTGTTGGGCAAAAGTGTCCTGAGTGGTATTTATGGACCAATGTTCAAGGTGCACAGAGAGCCACCAGGACGGTGTGGGTTATGCTTCTTTAAAAGTTATCACTTCTTTCTCCTCCCTCAAGGATTCTGCCTCAATGAGAGTGGCCTCAGAACACCTCTGAAGGGTTCCTCTAGTTCCCCCAAGCAAGTGTTGTTAAATACCATACTAGAGCCTTCTTCCAGACCTAATTATGTCCAGAGCTATCTCCAGGTACCATTACAGTGGGGCTGCCAATCAAGGAAGCAATACGTTGAAATGTATTGCTTATATGTACTGTGGAAATCTGTTCCTGCAGCAGTCTCATCTCCAGTTAAAGAATTCTCATCCACTTGTTTACTCATCACATTGAGCATATACTGTTGCCAAGCCCCATGCCCAGTACTTTTATGTAATTTATTAACGAATGTCCATTCTTTCTTTTTCTCCTTGACACTTTTTCCCAAATAAAACTTGAAGAATAGGTTTCATGATTCCAAGCTCTGTGACCTTGGGCAAATTGCTACACCTTTCTGAGTTTCAAGTACCTAATATTTAAAAGGGGATAATTTCAAAAAGCTGTAGGGATTATAGGACATGTTTAAACATACCCAGCATAGGACCTGGCACATTGGTGCTCAATAATCTTTATATCCTTTCTTCCAGGGCATATCAAAATTATTCCACCTGATCTTACTGCTTCTGAATGGTCAAGGCTCATTCTGTCTTTGCTTCAGAGGCCTCACGTTCCTCCCCTCCTTAAGGACCTGAGCTCTTACAGCAGTTTCTACCTCAGCAGAGCCAAGCTTGAGGTCAAGTGGGCTATTACAGAAAAAAGAAATTCTAATGCAGGAGGTAGGGTTACAAAGTGAACAAAGGCCACTGCCCCTATAGTCTCCTCTTGACCACGTTGGAGAAGAGCAAGGAGACAAGTGAGAGCACACAGAACCCCAAAGGAGGTCAAAGCCAAAGTCCTTAGGGCTAGGGAGGTCACTCAGGGATCTGGCAAGATCCCTTCTCCTCAAGTCATTGGTTCCCTGAGGCAGCTCTGGGGCTATGGTCCCCTATAGGGCGCATCACCACCACGGTCTCCTGAGGCGCCCCTGCGTTCTCACATGGTCTTCCAGGCAGCCACCCTGGCGCTGGCTCCCCTAGTGACACAGAAGGTCCCCCTGGGGACGTTAAACTCACACTGGGGCTCCCTTGGAAGCAAGTGCAGAGCACTCTGGGCGCCCTGCACACAAGGGATGCGCACAGGAGATCGGCCGGCCGTGGGGGCGGCTCTCCACACCGCCTCGGGAACTCTCCCATGGGGGTGGAGGCAGCGCCCACTCGGGGCTCACCCACTTCCAAACGGGCCCCTGGGGCTGCTCCCACACGGGCACCTCAGCGTCCCCGAGGACTGTACGGACCCGCAGACCCGCCCTTAGGTGACGGCTCGGTGCCCGCCTTCCCCGCCCCGCTTACCGGGACTGTCCGGGTGCGGGACGCGGGTCCAGGGCTGGCGGACTCTGCCCACGGCCGCTCGGGAGGCGACGTGCGGGCCCGAGCGGCGGGAGCGGGCGGCGCGGCAGGCTGAGGCGGCGCGCGCACCCTGAGCACACCCACCGCCCCGCGCGGCTGCGGCGCGTGCGCCCGCGCCAGGCGCCCTCGGCCCGCGGTGAGCGCACCCCGCCCCGCCCCCTGCACCTCCCGCGGGGCCTCGTGGCTCTGCAGGCTCGGTGGGAGCGCGGGGGGCGGTGGCTGCTCTGCGGAGCTGTCGGCGCGCGTGCCGCCGGGGTCGCCCCCTCGAGCGGGGCACTGTCACTGCGGCACGGCTCGGGGACTGCGCCAACTGGCCGCCCGCGGCAAGGTCAGGGCCCGCCCGCAGGAGGCGGCCGGGAGGCACGGTAGGGGGCTGCACCGAGGCTCAGGAGGGGTCCGGGTGGAATTTGTCTCAGTGCGAGCTGGGGTAGCGAGAATGACTCATCCAGCGGACCCTACCGGCCGTCCACCCAGTCTCCAGGCTCAGGACCCGGCATTGGGCACCTACATTGGCGGTACCCACCGGCCTCCGGAATGTGCAGATGAGCCTTCACAGATCAGGCTGGCCTGATCCACCCTGTGGCCCGTTTCAGAGATTATTGGTCTTCCATTTCCAGCAGCAAAGCTGAGCTGTCACGCAACCTACTTTCCGCATCCTCATCTCTTAGAGTATCCAAACAGCTAGCCTGTCAGGAGGCCAGCAGTTCTGAGGACTACGACGTGCATTAAAACAAACTCCGTCCTTTGAAGAGGCCAAGAAAAACATTAAGTCATAAAGCATGTAGCAATTAATTATAAGGAAATAAATGAAGATTTGCACACATGCCGAGAACCCCTTTACTTAAAATTATTTATATTTCTAACACACCTGCATTTTCTTGTACATTCAATTATAGATCTCAAATACATGTCACCATTTTTTGATCATCTAGTATTTTTTTCCACACTGTCCCAGGTACTGTGTGTGTGTGTGTGTGTGTGTGTGTGTGTGTGTGTGTGTGTGACGGAGTGGAGATACAAAAAGGAACTCATTTTGTTCTTACCAATAAGGAATATAAAAGGTATATACAATACTATATATTAATAACACTTTCAAACACAAAGTGTCAAGGTACTGTTTTAAACACCTTATATATATATTGTCAATAATTCTCACATCATCCCTTTGAGGGGCTGTACTACTTAGGCAAGTTACCAATTTGGTGAAAATCACATAGCTACTAGGTGATGGAGATGAGATTGAAATCCAGGTATTCATCCCAAGCCCCTAACCATTTTATCGGCTGTCTCTGGGAAAGGAGGCTAACCATTAATACATGGAGTTCTATAATTAGTACTTGTTTTTCAGGAGCCATTATTCTTTTTTTTGTTTGTTGTGAAGGTAACAATAAAGAGCAGATTGAGCTTTTTATCTAGCCTGGGAGGGAGGCAGTCCCTTCACCTTCTTCAGAATTACATCAGACCAACAATTTCACAGATAGGGTGAAATACTTCTCTGAACTGTTTTTAGAAAGTGTTTTCTTTCTGGGCTATTGGGCCTATATGGGACAGGAGGCAGTAATAATATCCACGTTAAGATCTCTGTTGGTTAATACATTCATTAAGAAATGTGTATTGTCCAGCTATAATATGCCAGTCTTGTGCTGAGAACTAGAAAAGGTGCAAATTAAGAAACAGAACTTTTCCTCGAGGATTTATAATATCAAACATGGGAGTTCCACCCTAATAACTGTCTAATCTTAAACACTTCTCCAAACCCTGACCTCTAAACACCCTTGTCAGTTTCTATCCCATTAACATCTTACAATGGGAATTAAATTTCAACACATGAAGCCTTGAGGACATTCGAACTATACCCAAATCATGACATCTATATTCTTTCTCTTCCTGTCCCTGTCCCTGTCCCTGTCTCTGTCTCTGTCTCTGTCTCTGTCTTAAAATAGTGGAGATCAAACCCAGGTCCTTGCACGTACTAGGCAAGTGTTTTATCACTGAATGACACCCCCAGCTCCTATAATAGTATTTCAGCCTACCTCCAAGTGTGTGTGCCTGTGAAGATAGGCATTTATTATTATTGACTAGACATGTTTGTTTTCTTAAGTATTAAACTTGGACTTCTCAATAAATGAGTCATTTGTAGGAAAATGGATGCGCCTCCAGACCATAATCCTAAGTGAAATAAATCGGGTACACAAGTTTAAATAGCACATTGTTTCTCTTAGGTGAGAAATCCAGAGGGTAAACAAGGAACATAATGGAGGAAAGATATTGGGAAGTAAGAAGAACATGTTCAAATGGGCAGGGGAACAAGAGAGGGGAAGGGGGGGGGAGGAAAGGAAGGGAAAAAGAGGGGGAAAAAGAGAATAGAAGGAAGAAATAGAAACAAAGCTTTGATAAATGGGAAGGCAAAGAAGGGGTAGAGGGAGAGGAGAGGAATGGGAAAAAAAGAAGAATAAAGACATATTATTCCCTATGATGAATGTGATCAATATGTATGACAAATATATACAAATAAAAAATACAAAGTTTAAAAAGTAAATTTGGGCATCTTTGTGTTATTTTGTAAAATAATTTAATAAGTTAAAATATGAAAAAGATAGTTTTGTTACTTATATACATTAATTATAAAATATATTTTTATGTGACCCAAGACAATTCCTCTGTACTTAGTGCAGCTCAAGCAACTCAAAAGGTTGGACATCCATGCTTTAACCTAAGAAGTAAAGGTAGTAGGACTTGTCTATATCCATTTATCCTGTCTTCCTTTCCTAAAGTCTCAGAGGATGAAGGAAGTCGACTTACGAATATTGCTAACTCCTCCAACTGTACTTTCGATTCAAATTCATGGGTTGAAAACTTAATACCCAATGCAACAGTGTTGGGAGGTAGGGTTTGATAAGAGGTGAACTGGTCAGAAGGGTTCTGGCCTCATGAGCATGGATTAATGTTGTTACCATGGGAGTTGGCTAGTTATAAAAGCAAGTCCAGCTTGCTCTTGCCCTCTCTTGCTCTCCTGCCTTCCCTCATGGGATGATGCAGCACAAAAGCCCTTGCCAGATGCCAATGCCACGCTCTTGAACTTCTCAGCTATAAGCCAAATAAAATTTTGTTCATTATAAATTGTCCAATCTGTGGTATTCTGTTATAGAAGCATGAAATGGACTAAGGCATCATCTGCTCCCTTTCCTACTTAAAAAACAAACAAACAAAACAAACAAACAAAAAACCCCACAAACTTTATTGTCTAGAACAGTTTTAGTTTTACAGAAAAATTGCAAAGATAGTATGGAGAGTTCCCATAAACCCCACATCAGTTTTCATATTATTAATATCGTAGAATTAATATTGATTAACATTAGGAAATGTCTTTTTTTTTCTGTTTTAGGAGCTCATCCAAAATACCATGGTACATTTAGTCATCATGTCATTAGTAGTGTCTCAGACTTTGTTTTTGATGGCTATGACAGTTTTAACACTGCTGGTCAGGTATTTTGTAAAATGCCCTGGTACTGAGATTTGTTTGATATTTTTCTCATGATTAACTAGGATTATGGATTATTAAGAGAAAGACCACTGTAGAAAAGTGTCATTTCCATCATATCATGTGGAAGATGCATGCTATCAACATGGCTTATTATTTCTTTTCCAGTACTGGGGATCAAACTCAGGACCTTGCACTTGCAAGGCAGGGGCGGTGCCACTGAGCTAAATCCCCGGGGCCTCAACATGGCTTATTGATCATCTGGCAGAAGTAGTATTTTTTAGGTTTCTCCGTTGTAAAGTTATTCTTCCCTTTTTACTCTCCTCTTTTCCATTCTATATGCTTTGGAAGGAAGTCACTATGTGCAGCCTGTACTTAGAAAGTAGAAGAGTTAGATTCCACTTTCTTGAGACTAGAGGATCTACATAAATCATTTAGAATTTTTTTTCCCCATGTAGAATTTTTCTACATGGGAAATTTGCCATTTCTACTTACTAAAATCACTCTTAAAAACTTACATGCAGTGAAATCCATTCTTTTTTTGGGCATATATTTCTATGAGTTTTGATAAATGTGTTCAGTCATGTAACTACCATCCAGATCAAGATGTAGAACTGTTTAATTATGCTCAAATTCATATGTTTCTTTCTTTGTACCTAGCTACTCCCCCATTCATGACTCCTGGTGTAATAATTAATTGTGATATGTCAACTTGACTTGAGTAAGAACCACCTACCAGGTTAGGGTGGCACTAACCAATAGGCTTCGAGTCTGGATGGAATAAAAAGGGAAAGAAGGAAATTTGCCCTTTTTCTTTGGAGCTTCTTTTTCTTTGTGCTTTCAGAGGTTGATCTACAGTTCCTTCAGCCTTCCAACAAGATTCTTCAGCTTTTTGACACAGACTCACACTGGTGACTCTGCAGTGAGTATTCAGGCCTTTGGTTATAGGCTGCTGGAACTCCTGGCTCTATACAGTCCTTAGACAGGCATTTTGGATTCTTCTACCTCTGACTCTGTGGATGACCATTGGGACTGTTCTCCTTCTGAGCCTGTAAATCTACCTAATGAATCCCTTGTATAATTCTACATATGTTTTATATTGAGTCTATTCCTCTGGTGAACCCTAACTAACACACATGGTAACCACTAAAACATTTTCTGTTCCTATTATTTTGCTTTTTCCAGAATGTTTAATAAGTGGGTCCATACTGCATGTAGCATTCTGATTCTGGCATCATTCATTTGTCATATTTGAGGGGGTAGTATTCCGTTGTATAGATAAGGCATAATTTTTCCATTCACTAGTTGAAGGACATTAGGGCTGTTTCTACTTTCTCTTTCTGTTTCTACTTTCATTTTGCATCCTGTCAGAAATGTGTCAGTGTTCTAGTTGTTCTATGTCCTCTCCAGTACTTACTTGATATTATAAAGTTTTGTTTTGTTTTTAGCCATTATAATAAGTGAGTTATAGGTGTATCATTTTCACTGGATTTTTTCCCCCTAGTACTGAGAATTGAACCCAGGTCCTTAAGCTTGCTAGGCAAGAACTCTACCACTTAGCTATATATACTCAGTCCTCATTGAATATTTATAGCGATT